TTTGGTTGCTGTCAGTTTCTTCTCTCTGCAAATTTGCATACTCAATCCTTTCAAGATTCTTATAGTTCCTTGCTACATGACTTTTCAAACTCCTTGAACGATGCATCTTCTGCGCTGCCTCTACTTTTTATGTCTGTAACTTCTTCCAATCGTTTAATAAGGCATCTCCTGTATCATATACATTTAGAAGAACAGAGTTGAATATCAAAGGACAGTCACAGCAATTCCCCGAAGGCATAAACAATCTATGAATTGGATATCTGTTGTTGTATGAACAGAACACAAGGAGATACGGCTGGTGAATGGAAAACATCGCTGTGAAGGGAGAGTGGAAGTGTTCTACAATGAGACCTGGGGAACAGTGTGCTCGGAAAGTCTGGACAACCACGATGCAGCAGTGATTTGTAAGCAGTTGCACTGCGGTGCCCTCCAGTCCATTGATCATGACGCTCAGGTATTTGGAGCAGGAACAGGACCTATTTGGCTTGATGAGATAGAATGTATCTCAGACGATCCAACCCTATGGCAATGTCAGAGAAATCCGTGGGGTCAACACAACTGTGAGCACAGGGAAGATGCCGGTGTTGTTTGTTCAGGTAACTCGACAAACACTCTCAATGTTTAGGTGTCATGTGAAACACTGGTTTCGAGTAGAGTTAGCCCGTTTTTCCTCTTTACAGAGAGCGATGTGACGAAGGACCAGCTCCTCAAATCAAATTCCTGCCATCAACAATCAGGTATGTCCTCATCGTGAAGGTGCCAACTATTGCAATACTATTGCTGCTTTGTACTGCATTTAATAGTAACCTGTTCTGTGCCACAGATTCGCAACATACCGTGCGCCTGGATGGAGGCAGCAACAGCTGTTCAGGGAGAGTGGAGATCATGTGCAATGAACGCTGGGGCACATTGTGTAGGGATTCCTGGGATATAACTGATGCCAATGTTGTCTGCAGACAGCTGAGATGTGGCTTCGCTCTATCGGCCCAAGGAGGGCCCGCTGTCTCCCGGGGTAAAGGTGTGATCTGGCAGAATGATGTGAAGTGCAAGGGAAGTGAATCCTCTCTTGTCGAGTGTCTCTCCCCAGCACCAGCACAAAGGGAATGTAATCACAAGGAAATTGCCAGTGTGACCTGTTCTGGTAAGGACGATTCTGACCATTGATCATCAATGTCACAAATTAGTGCCGACATTTGTCTTCTGGTATTGAATTTCACCTTCATGAATATTTGTGCAATCTCTTCCACAGGATCGTATTTGATGCCGACTTCCCCTTCACCTCCACCTGCGGGTATTTATAATGATACTATTTTAAATGTTTGTGTTAGCGTTATGTTCCTGATTAATGACATTGATGCTGCTGACATTTTCACGAATTTGAAGTTTAAGTCGGTGTTTAATCATTGATGAATTCTTTGCAATTATACAAGGCAGCCTGTAACTAAGATAAAATTCTCTATAATCTCTTCTTTAAGGACAGGAAAGTGAATCCATTTCCATACCTGTTGTCGTCTGCTTAACGTTAGGAGCTCTGTTAATCCTTGACTTGATCGCACTACTCGTGGTAATATGGAGAAAATTGCAAATGAAAGGTGAGCCTCACACTTACCGAATGAGTCAGCACTCAGTTAGTTTTCTTGTTCCTTATGGTATCGGAGCTGTAGATTGTTGTTGCACATTTCCATCAGTTATTCTAAATGGTGACGAATGTGAGGTCGTTTCTGGCTATTTGATTTTTTCAAGGGGTTTTACCCATTGAAACGCCAGATATAAATTTGAGGCAAGGATACAAGACATTAATGAGAACTTTTTGGAGCTAAAAGAAGATGGAAATTGGGTCAAATATTTATCAAATCCCTCAGTACCTGTGGATCGAAACAGAATTAACGTTTGATGCGGTGTTATACCAAATTATTTTCAATGGGAAGTAAATGTAAAGACTGAATATTTATCTTTTGTTAACTTGAAGACAAAACTCCCGAACAAGTTGTTGCTTGTAGCAACGTGTCTTTAAATTTCATTGAGAGGTCCGCTCACTTCCTATAATTGTTTATTCACAGTTAGTTTTCCTTAACGCTTATTACGGTTCTGGGTGCTGATGCCAGAACCTATGATCAGTGAAAGTATTAAGCGTCTTTTTATATTTACTTTCAGTCATCCAACAACTGATTTCCCTTGACTCGCCAATTAAAACATCTTTACACTTTACACTGGTTGAAAAACATTTGCCTGGGAATGATTTTCCACCTGAGGGCAACGACGATCAACACGAATAATCATCATTTTCTACACTTTTCACTTTGTCTTAAGTTTAATTTATACACAGCAGTCAAAAGTTTACAGAGATAACAAGGTGTAGAGCTGGATGAACACAGCATGCCAAGCAGCATCAGAGGAGCAGGAAGGCTGACGTTTCGGGCCGAGACTCTGAAGAATGATGTTCTCCTTAATTCATTTGTCTCACGTTATTATTTCCAACTATTGGCAACAATTATACATTTGTGTAACCACAGCATTCAAATGTTGACAGATAGTAGGAACTGCCGATGCTGGAGAATCTGAGATCACAAGAGCTGGATGAAAACAGCAGGCCAAGCAGCATCAGAGGAGCAGGAAAGCTGACGTTTTCGATCTGGACCCTTAAAATACTAATAAATTTTCTGTTATCTGAGCATTTTTTTGGCCGACACCTATATCCTGACTATTGATTTGTAACCTTCCCACAGTCGTCAAGGTTTTTTTGTCTATTTATCGTTCATAAATTAAAGATATTTACCATTTTTCCATGTCTTAAGCAACTTCTATGGCCACTGACATTTACAGTCTCATACAACATTATGAGCTGATCATTTTTTCTTCGAATAAACATCTGCATCTGGAGGTGGCGATTCCTAATTCGAACAGAACTGACAGAATACTTCCAAACCAACAACATCTTAGTCTCTATGTTTAACAGAATAATTTCCACAAAGTGATAAGACATGACGATTAATCATGACCTGTTCACTTGATTTTCTGCACGCGTGCTGCCCTCACTGATCAGCCATTGCCTTCTTGCTGCCTTGCATGAACTGGAAGAGCTTCACACTAATGCTGCTTCAGAAATAAACTCAGTGTTGCTGCGAGTGTTCAGCTACAAATGCTAACCTGTCTATCCTTCCTTCAACAGATCTTTGCACTGGTGACAGAGGCTCAAGTCTTGGTTTGTACCAAGGAATTTATGAAGAAATTGAGAATATTCCCTCTGGCAAGAAGACGGATCAGAAACATGGACCAGGTATATGTTTGCTCCTTCATAGTGAGTCGTTACTGGATAAGTATGGCCTCCCATCAATTTCAATGATCAGTGAACTGAATGAGCCTGAGTATTTGTTAAATCTCTGACCTCGTGTGAAGGAAGCGATCATAGGGAATGAATCCCAGTTTGTTTTAGAGCGAGGAAAAATTGCAGTTTGATCATTCCCACTGCCCTTCATTCCTGACAGATTATTTCTGACATTTGTGAGTAAATACAAACAGAACTATGTTTCAGAGATAACAAGGTGTAGAGCTGGATGAATACAGCAGGCCAAGCAGCATCAGAAGAGCAGGAAGGCTGACGTTAGGGGCCGAGACCCTTCTTCAGAAAAAAGACCCTTGTTAACCTTGTTATCTCAGATTCTCCAGCATCTGCAGTTCCTACTATCCCAGAACTATCTTTTCTATACGACACTGGTTTCATTCTGACTCCTTTGGTTATCTAAACAACACATACAGATTGAATGTTCAGTAATATAATCTTTGTCACGAGTCTCAGTTACACAGTACATAGAATTGCAAGTGAAATTGAGGAATTAATATGAAAATAAACATGAACAATCACAGAAGTGCTAACAGTGCAGATGAATGCCCTTCAGTACATTGTGTCTGCCTTCAGTACATTGTGTCTCCACCGCTTATAGTACCTTGTAACAAACAATTATAATAAAACGAAATGTTGTACTTCTTTAGAGTAGGAGCAACAGATATATGGATAGTTATCTAAAAGTTTGACATGCTTGGAGTTTACCAAGTGTGTAAAAATCCCAAAGGGGAGGATTAACAATCAAGCCTGGTGATATTGAAGAGTCAAATCAGGTAGATAATTGAATTAAAATAAAAACGGGAAGTTTTTATCTTGACATACATATCGTTGCAAT